TTTGATTTTTCAACTTCAATTTCAATTCTCAATTTTCAGTTTCAATTCTCAGCAAGACGTTCTGGGACAGCACTTTGGTCTAATCTAAGGGCAACTCAGTAGTAGCCAACAGGCAAGAGTTGACCTTCCTCTCTATAAGTGCTGGGGTCGGCAATGCGCACGTGATACCCCTCGTGTTTCTGGCATTCATATGCGATAACCATTTACCACCAGATAAACCGTATTTGCCACCATCGTAGTATAAAAAAAATGCCTTCTATATTCCTTCTCATTATTGTATAGTGAATATTTAAAATCAGCTGTATCCTACAACTATAATAGAAAAGTTAAAAAAAAAACAGCTTTAAACGGAAACTAAAACGTACATTATAGAAATGCCAATAGCGTAAATCGCTAAACAGAAAGTTTCATTTAGTTTCGTATGTGTATTCAAATAGATTCGTATTTGAATTTGAAATATATAAATCCAAGTAATACTAAACTAAACCAGACTGCAGATCTAGTGGTTTCTGTTAGCGTTTCTGTAGAGCTTACAATTTCTAGTTTGCCGAACAACTACAGAACAACTCTCGGAGCTCTGAAATTCAATCGGTACGGAAAACGGTGAATCCATTAGGATCATTATGCAACTAATTTGTGCAAAAGTAAAATATTCAAACGTTGAATTAATACCTAAATTTGTACCTAAAATGTATGTGGTGAATTCAATAGTTAAACAGGAAACTAGCTGTGATTTCGTTTGCATAGTATTAGAACTTAGCAATTTTTTTTATTACGTTGAATTTTATTTAGATGAATGATTATTTTCCATTAGTAACTTTCAGCGGTTTGAAAGGTAATAAAATGACAATCTCTTTATTACCTTTCAAACCTTTACTATCTAGTATCGTATTTGTATTATTCAGAATTCCTCCCGTATCACGGGAAAAAAACCTATTTTATATAAAAAAATTATATATAATAGGTTCATTATTTTTTTATCTAAAAAATCATCATCATATATTTAACTAATTGTCAGACACAGTTTCGCTTTTATAAAATGCGAATGAATATTCAGTTCACAGTTTTAGTAGTCGCGTTGCGTCAATCGTAACTTGTTTGCTCGCAGAGTTGATTGTTACTAATGCAACTCGATAGTTATATTTTTGCACAAAGTACTCATGAAATGTAAATGTAGAATAGGAAATTATTTATTGAAATTAACATACATTGAAGTACTTCTGAATGGCCGTCATTTATTTTCGGAAAGCTGAGTCATGACAAGAAAAACGAGCTAGAAACTTGCGTGCAACTCTGTTAAATAATTTAGTTGTAACTAGGCATATTTAAGTTGAAATCTGTGAATACAACCTACCAACTAGCACTAATTCATTAGAGTCAAAATAAGAATAACGTAACTAACTGATTGAGTGATTAAATTACATTTTATCAAAATAGTGATTAGCGAAGTCCAGTCCCTTAAAGCAGCACTCATTCACGAGTACGACGGATGAGACAGCCAGTACAAAGAATATAAAGACAGATCATTCAGTAGATCTCCTATTATAGTGAATTCACTAGGCATTTAACCTGATGGTTTCCAGTGGATACCGCGTGGAGGTCAATCTGACATAGTACATTGCTAGCAATGCGTCTTCATTATTAATGATCTCCCAAACAGACTAGGATGGAATATTCTGTAAATTTGTTGTCAAATAAAAGAAAGAATATTAAAGCATACTAAATTAATTGAAAAGTTAAATGCAGTTTTCAAATTTGTATCAAACATAAAGATCTATACAGTTTTGTTTAGTTTAGACCACAGATAAGATAATACATAGTTAGTTAGATTATATAGTTTGGACAGACTAAAACACTGTTCGCGAACATCACAATGTAAGTACTAGTGTACTGATATATACGGTCCATTGTTTCACTATTTACGTTGGTTATCCAAGGCATAAGTCTGTTATACTAAATGGTAGAAACTCTGAAGTTACTCAGAAGTTCTGTGCAGACCTCCATCGTGCTGAATCATGTCTACAAACTTGAATTATTTGTTGCAGTTCGGTTACAGAAACTGAATCGGTAGAATAGGAATACTTGAAGCAGTCTCTATTTCAAATAACTTTATCATAAGCATGTTCAGAAACACTTTTATGTACTGTTAAACCCGTCTTGTTCTGCTTTTTCTAAGATAAAAGATAGCGAACATTCGTCCTCGATACATGTTTTTATACAGACTTTAGTCGTGATAAGGTGACTAATATACATATAATATACATAGAGATAGTGTTGTACTAGAGAGTGTGAGTATGAGATACTACTAGTGAGATACTAGCTAATCAGAATGTATTTATAATTCTAAATAGAATTATAAATACATTCTGATTAGCAAATTTTATGATTACAAATTTTTGTAACTAAATTTATAGTTCTGTTATTATACAATCCTGTGTACATACTTCAACTTGTCAATCATTCCATATAAATGTCTCCTTATTCCTAGTGATCTTCTTCTATTTTCCATTTATCTAGTACGACGGATAAACATTTAAAATTGCTAAATAAGGTAGCAGTAGTCAATAAGTTTACGAAAACCTATACTACTCCATGTCACGATTTCTCGTTGGACAATTTGATGAGAGTAGTTGAAAAAGATAGTTGACAAACTGCTGACACCAAACGACTTTGACCTGGCGTTATCCTACAGGCAGCTCGTTACCATAGCTAAAACAACGACATAGCGAGAGCGTTGAATATATTCTCTAATATACAGTTTTATGTAATTTCAAACAAGCTGTCAACTTACTCAATAGCAAGTGGTAAGCATCTCCTGTATACATAGTGCCGTGACCATACAGACAAATTATATTTATTTTTTCTATTAATTATAACATTCATATACATATATATCATATCATAGTTTGTAAGGCATTTATAATATGGGCTATCAGTAGCCTCAATTGTCATTCTCTGCTTACTGTGGGACTAGATGGCGCTGTTTAGTCATCCAGTTTATTTTATTATTATATTTATATATTATTATATCTAATACATTAACCATACATCATTAACCATAAGTTTATCTGTGTCCAGTCCATACTATATTACTAATCGCATGTAAACGAAGTAACGGCAAGTAACTTGTTCATAATGAGTTATACTCTCTATTACTTACCTAATTACACAGATAGTAATTAATTCTAGTAAAATTAGTCCCGAACCATTCTCGTGATGTCATTAGCAGTTTGTTGACATAACCTTTAAAGTTCTTTTATTGCGTGATCGATTTGTTTACTCCACTCCACCACATACAATAGGTAATGTGTTTTGTTAACAAAATGGAGGTAACGCACTTTTTTTTATAAAAGTATTAAAATGGTATATCCGCTTTTGCTAATGTTATACGCTGGAAGAGAAATATTAGAGTAAGATAGTTTAGTATTTGCGTAGTCATCAATTAACCCTGACGGTTTTATGTAGTCTCTGCGTAGAGGACAACCTGTTAGTATTTAGGCCATCTGTCCCAAATACAAATCCCGGCCCTTCTCCCTCGTAGATAACAGCATGATAATATAAGTAAAATTACATTATCTGATAAACGTTGCGTGGGATAAATAGATATGATAAAATAGTTAGGAATAACATTTGTTTAACCGACTTCAAGAAGGATCTATAATTGGATTTTTTTGTTACGTTATGCGATAATTTTATCAATTTTGCGCCGTTTTGAAGGTATTTCTTGAGGCGTTTTAATATTATTTCTTGTGTATATCTAGTCTTATACTAATTTTATTTCTCGACCACAGTATGCCCACAAGAAAAGTAAAAGTAAATAAGATTGTTTTTTACTAATTTCTAAATTATCTGTGCACTCACGAACTCGATATTCCTTGGTATATGGGTCGTTATATGCCAAGTAATACTTAATAATTATTTTCACTACTAAACGGCTGAATGAAACTTAATTAAATTAGGCATAAAGCTGGATTGTATCACGAAAATAGTAATAGACTATCATTTATATCAAAAAAGCATACGAAGTCACTGTATTATTAGTAAATAAACGTAAAGAAAGTTTAGTTAAGTAAAACTAGTGTAAATAAGCGAAAAGATATTAAATTAATTTTTTATATGTAGGTGTGGATAATATTTAGTATACTTATAGATTAATTTGTGTAAATAAACGAAAAGAAATTAAGTTAATTTTTAATATGTAGGGGTTTATTTAACCACTCATTCTTGCACTAGGCACCCTCGTAATAAGTGGGCCGTGGAGCGTGGGAGTGTGATTACTTCAGTCAACCTATACGTTTCCAGAATGTCGATTAATCAGACCACAATTATCCTTACTTCCATGCTAACATTTTATAGCTGAAGTGAACTTAATGAATTTGCCACGTAGAATGATTGTATTACATAACAATTATATTATATATTGATTGAAAAACAATCTGGACGTGATGGTGAAAATTTATACAGATAAAATGGCGGGTAATAGCTAGTGTTTTATGAATTAATAGATCTGACTGTGTCTGTTCATCTGTCGATTTAGGACTAAACAGCTGAAGCGAATTTACTGTAATTGGCCATGAGATAGATTATATTTGATAATTATTATACTACGTATTTATTGAAAATCTATCTGGAAGAGGGTGAAATAGAATCGATGGAATAGAAAAATTTATGTAGATAAAATCTCGGATATAATTGAAATAGGAAAGTCAATACGCGAATCTTGGAACTTAATAGGGCATTAATATTTCACTAAGCTGGATTTGAAACACGTAAAAAACCTACTTTACTTGTAGCCCCAATAAGGTATTTGGGCTACAATTAGAGTCGATTTTTACCACGGATATATCAAGTTAATTCAAAATGAAGTTGCTGCTGCTTTTCCTTAGACAAATAGCCTATAATATTCTCATTACATTCAGAACTGATTAACGGTTAAATCGTGAATTAAATATCAGTTAGCAAACACTACGAACTCTGCTATCATTCCTATAACATTTCAGGGTCGAATGTGATGCCCAAGATGTGGTTGTTCGGAGCAAGACGATCTCCGGAGCCACCGAGACCTTGTGGTCCGGCTGTTCTCTCCAGCGCCACTGTTGGCGTACCGCAGATTCGAGTCATCAATAACGAATTTACCGCTCGACCGAGGAAAAAAGGACTAGCTGTAAGTCATTATATTAAAAATCTATCCTAGTAATAAATTAATACATATGTTTCGGCCTCTAGACACGTCACAATTTTTTAAAGTTACGTATAAATACAGATCTATTTAGTTTTAAATCGGAGTTGGTAAGTATGTACTAAAATAATGTGTTAGACTTTGATAATCATCATATTATTATTTTCACTTGCAACTCTATTATTATCGCGACAAGCTATGTCCAGTATTAGACTATAGGTAGGTAGACTATAGATGATGATGACGAAACACCATTATTATTGTTTCACAGAAGCGACACACGCTATCATTTTAATTAATTATTGATTCCAATTTCCTTTTATTTATTGCCCCTCGGAGATTACTCGGTTAATTTCGCATAATCCTTACACGTATTATTTTCAAGGGTAGTGAGTTATATAATAATTTAGGAAGGTCGTTTTTTATGATACCGGAATGGTAAATAATGTGATAGCCCATTTGATGGTAATTTGTAACCTAATATCCCTGATGAGCACTACGGATATCACGTCATCATGTACTTTATCTCTTTACTTGTAATTTCACTGCCTTATCCTCACTCAAACAAAATACTGTTTCCCTACTGAAACATGTAGTTATTACAAACTCATAAGACTATTTACAAATTCGAAAGGGTTAAGGTGTATATGTTCGTTCTTTGTAAATGCACTGCCATCTCTCAATCTGCAATCAGTACCTGTCCATGGTAAAAGATAAAGGAATCTAACAAAAACTAAACGTACTTAATAAAAGGAAAAAAAAAATGGATAAATAACTCTGAACAATTAACACAGCGATATCTAGTCCCACGGTAAGCAGAGCTTGTATTATGGGTACTACTCAACTGATATACTCGTAGATACTTTTTTTTGTAAATACATACTAAACAATAAAATACATCTAAAACACCCACCCCAATACAAACAATCACACTTATGAATATAAATGTTTACACTGTGGGAGGAATCGAACCTATGACCATCGGAAGTAAAGTGGTGTGATAAAAAAAACAGATAAAATGGATTTAGTTATTATATGGGTACGTAGTTCACTAAAACAATATTTTTTACTCTATAAATGAGACTTTCTTGTATACAGTCCTTTATATGGACGGACTTGGAAGAACTTGCAGTCACGTATGATCAATTTGAGACATGCCCCATGCGGAGCAGTAACTTAGAATCGTTAACTTTTTATTATCTCTCCCCTTGTGTAGTATCCTCGTGAGGAAACCACTATGAGATGTTTAAAAGAACTTGCAGGTTAAACGCCGCCAAGACACTAATAAAAAATTAAAAGCCTATCTCTCCTTAGAATCATTATATAGTATAAAACAAAGTCGCTGTCGCTGTCTGTCCTAATAGAGTGATTCAAGAGGAATACTTGTATATATAATACATGTATACCCGTGTGAAGCCGGGGCGAGTAGCTAGTTGATAATAAATTATTCTTTCTGTTAACACTCTTTACATATATGGATAGAAAGATTAGCCTTTTTTGGGTGCATTGAAAGTGAAATATAAGATATATTAATATTATCCAAGTCAATTACTAACTTGTGTATATGTTAGATGTATGCCTACCTTTTTTTACCCCGACTTGCATTTCAAAGGTCATGTGAGTATTTTTAGTAGTCATTACATTTATTGGCTACGGATAGATTCGTGTGTGCCTTTTTGTATTTCTGACTTATTCCGCTGTGTTCTGATAAAAAACGAATTCATTATAGAAGCAGCTGTAAGTTCATGTTCTCTCACATATTTTTTTTTATACTAGGATGGTGGTAAACCAGCATTCGGCGCATCTGATGGTATACGATTACCGTAACCTTATGTTGAATCACATCTACTACACAGTGATATGACAAATTAATAATCTATCCCGTTTGACATGACTTTGTTTGTACTTAGTCCCAAATCAAGAATTTAAAAAAGTGAAGGTATATGGTTTTATAGGTGAATTATTATTATGTACTATATATTAATATACATATATATATTCATCAAAGTTAATTATACAGGTAAAAATGAAATGTATAGTTATATATTCAAAGTTTACTTAACTGAACTAATAAACTCCATGAACAGACACATTAAAATCGTGTTTATATTTAATAATCGTACAAGTAATTTCGACATAAACAAATTTCTCTATCAAAATGCGTATTTATGGTGTATTTGTGGATTTTTTATTATTCTCAGAATGTTTTTAAATAAATTTATCAAACTGTTTTGGATGCTGTAAAGGAAACATCTAATTTCATGTGTATGCACAAAGAAATCACTCTAACATATTAAGTGAATGCTTTCAGCCTTTCAGTGACTAAGTAATCGTGTTTCGTTCGTAACTACGCACTTATGGATCGTAATTGTTTTATATTAGTAAATAATATTAGAGACATAATCATATTTTGTCAACTAAAGTGTTTCTTATTACATATTGTCCTTGCCACAGTAGTGTTCGAGTACCTAGGTGATAGCGACGTCATAAACAAAGGTCCACAACGACAACGACAATTGTACATGACTAACAGTTACCCACGTCTTTGTCTGCTGTTTCAATATAAAAGGAAGCTTATTTTCGTCTCTTTGATACAATCTGTTTTCACGACAAATATAATAAGATCCGTTCAGACGTTCAGTCGTGATAGGGTAACAAATATACAGAGAAGCAAACATTTTTTAATTGTTGTTTTTAATGGTTTAATGGTTTTAGAATTAGTATGCATATTTAAGCTGCAAAAATTTGTTACATTACTTACTTACTTTAGTTTCAAAAGGTAATAAAATCAATGGACTATAATTTTCAAAAAGGAAATCTGCCTATTTACATGAAATTATTGATGGTTGTACTTTAAAATTTTCTACGCCTTACAGTGAAGTACCTTACCTTTATTACATTATAATACATATTAAGTAACAAATAAAACATCGTGTTTAATAAATATGCAAGTGCACATTAGTTTTACATGTGTGCTTATCAGTTCAATAAAAAAAGTAAATCTTAGTATCGTAAATAAAAATAACAAATCCCAAATTAAAAAAGCGCTTCGAATAAATGTATTCGAAATGATACTCAAATGAACTATAAGGCGCAATTGCTATGTTATTATTAGAGCAAAAGAATAAGTCAAAACAGTCGAAAACATTTAATGTACAATAACTATATTAAATATAACTTAAGCACAGACATCACGTGGCTTGTCACGGGATTAGTTTCGTAAACGTTATTATATTACTCTTGAATACATATATACAAACGATGTGTTGAGAATGTGATTAATTTAATTTTATAGCTCTTTTTGTAATACATCGAACAATCTAGAATGTAAACATTATACTTTTAAATTACCATCCATATATATAAGGTAGATACCATCAAATTAAGAAAGATATTTCAATACATGTTTTGTAAAGATAATATATAATATATATTGCTTAATTATATATGTATATATATATATACATATAGGTGTTTTTTTTTTTTTTTGTGGATGATAATGGAATGGTGCACCCGCCTGCGCTAACGGTTTACGCTGGCAGGGCACCAGTGGAGGATGATAAGATGAGCATGAGGTCAGGTCAGTTAGCCCATCGTGACAAATTCACCAGGAATTTATCACGATGGTTTCCAGGGGAACCGCGTGGTCGACCTGACATGGTACATTGCTAGCAATGGGGTTATCAATCCACATTACTAACAATCCCCTTCCCCCCTACATATAGGTGTTAATAAAGCAAAGCATACTGCTTTGCTTTATTAACACGTTGACCACTGAGGTCGTTATGCATATACGAATATGTGTATTTGGTAAAGTTTAATATTTCAAAAAAATATAAACAAGTTATTTGTTTTAGGAATGGATGTGGTCGCTTACTGGCCACAATCGAGAATCGAGAATTAAAATCGACTATGGTGGCGAGTTGCAGAGCATGCTGCCTCATCAAGCACCAGATCGACTTAATTCTGGCGAAGTCTGCCTTTTAGCTGAGAGTCCTTACAGAATCCTGAGGGTAAGTAGAATTTTATATTCTTAACATCAATATGTTATTAGTTCAATATAAAAAACTCAACGTTATACCATAATTGGATACACTATTAAAGAGAATAATAAATTAACAAAATTATATACGTTCGTAAAGATTAGTTCAATGCAACACTAGATTATTTGAATACAACGTAGCAGGGGCAAATCGCTTCTAATTAATTTGATTTGTTATCGGTGTTTCCATCACTTGAGTGTATGTCAAAGGGAATAAATTGGCATTCACTGTTTCGTAGTGTACACTAGTAATGAACTTACAACCTTAGAGGTTCGTGTTGAAAAGTAAACAAAGGTTAACTGTCTTATTTTTAGTTTTATAGCACTCACAAAAGATAATTTATTTAAGATTGATCAATTAAAAAAAGACAACAGTATAATATTGTTAACATTTCAAAAAAATAATGTATATTTTTCCTAATAAATAAATTTCAATGAAATCAAACCTATTTTACACAAAAACGCATACTGATTTCTGTTGTAATTACATAAGTGTACATATAACATTTTTATTTACTTTATATTTCGTTTAAACTCTCTCTTCAAAGGTTGTCTGGAACAAATCTCATTAGCGATGAGATCGTCTTTTATACTTTTTTTTATATTCAATATTTTTTTGACGGTCTCATAGATTTTGCGGTTTAATACATCGCCATTCTTCCGATGGTCACGGGTTCGGTACCTCGCACGGCACAAACACTTTGTATTCATGAATACGATTGTTTTTGTCGGTCTGAATATTTTCTATGTATAATATGTGTGTATATTAACAGTTATCAAGTCAGTTACTAAGCAAGCTTAACCTAGCTTTAATTGGGTCTAGATGGCGCTGTGTGAGATTGTTATTTTACTTTTTATCCTTTTTAATATTATTATAATAAAGTATTATTGTAGTGTAGAACCTATCTATTATCCTGAAGAACCCTACAATGCATCTACATGAATATAACGAGCAAGCATTCCGTATGCACTTAATGCAATTTAATACATCCGTGTATCGTATTTCTGCAGTTGTTATTGTAACGTACACTAAAGATTGTCAACATTATTTTTCCTCCCGTGAGAATACATTGAATGCTGCATAGACGGAATATTGAAAGTGCCATCTATGTACGATATCCGACACTACCCATTGCTTCGGTCAGCGTGTGGCTACGAGCATGTTACGTTTCGTAGAACCTGCGTAGAATGTTCGTAGCACCGTAGCGAGGTCAGAATAATATTACTTTAGTTATTGTTTTCGCGTAGAGAGTGTACATAATAACAATTAATAGTCTGTACCATGCTAGTATATATAATTTTATTTGTCAAATGAGTTATATGTATGTATATATATAAATATATATGAAATAGTATAAAATAAAGTCCCTCCTGCTATCTGTTGGCTACATTTTAAACTGCAACGCATTTTAATACAGATTTTTACAATAGATAGAGTGCTTTAAGAGAAAAGTTATTATAATATATATCGTAACTTTTCTCTTAAAGCAATACTCGTGTGAAGCTGGGGTGGGTAACTATTTTTAAATTATAAAACACACTAGCTGTCTAAGAATATAAATTAATCAAGTACGATATACCTAACTATTATATTTTAAATTTATAAACTAAAAATAATTTAAAAAGAAATAGTATATAGTAATAGTAATTATAAAAAATGATTCTTCATAATACTATAACAAATATGAAATATAAATAAAAGTTCATTTCGTAATTCAAGTAATAATCCGAAATTACGAATAATAGTAAATTTTCATTACAAATGAATGAAATAGATTTTACAAATACTAATACCAATAGCGTTAGCCTTAAGTATAATGGGGTAGATAATATAACTCATAGTATCTCTCAGCTTTGTCAGGTTTTTAAAAAGATCTTATTTATAAAATTCTCGTGTTTTCGTTCCCATACTCCTCCGAAATGGCTTAACCGATTCTCATGAAATTTTGTGAGCGTATTGAGTAGGTCTGAAAATCGGCCAACATCTATTTTTCATCCCCGTAAATGTTAGGGGTAGTCCAACCCTAATTTTTTTTTTATTTTAAGGCAATACAACGTTTGCCGGGACAGCTAGTAAATATATATATATATATCTTCGCGACACAAACAATTTTCTATCACAATTATAATTCCGTTCGCCCATTTTAGTATGAAATATTAACGGATAGATATATATATAGTATATTTTGATATTCATATTATTTATGACTTACAATCATTGTATTTTATTATCGTAGATTATTATACTAACTAGAATATTCCGTACTAGTTTTTTATCTGATTCCTAATGGAGCAAATCACGAAACACTTGTGATAAAAACATTATCACTGATTAATCACCATGACAGTCGTTAAACTATGCAAATTAACCATAGATAGTAGAATAGTGTATCACTATTTCCTGTCTACTAATTAGTCATAGACTTTTCATTTGTCTATCGTAGCCATCATTATTAAGGATTTAGTATAACAATTATATCATTGAAAGAATAATATTATATATAAATATAGGTAATTTAACGAATAACGTGTATAAATAGTTTAATAACATAATGACGGTTTCGATGGTCTAGCAGTTAGACACGCCGCTTTATTACCGATAGTTGCGGGTTCGATACCTTACACGGCACAAACATTTGTATTCATGAGTATGATTGTTTGCAACGGTCTGGGTGCTTTCGATGCATATTATGTATGTATTTGCAAAAAATATATATATCTAAGTATTTGTATCAGTTCTCTAGTACCCATAACACAAGCTCTGCTTACCGTGGGACTAGATGGCGCTGTGTTATCATCCAGGGTTATTATTATTACTAGCTGACCCGCTCGACTTCGTCTGCATCACATATATCATTATATATTGCCCAATTTACGTTATATCTTTTTAAATTATAGCTTATGTGTTATTCTAATGTATAAGCTATTTAACTGTCAAGTTTCATCAAAATCCGTTCAGGAGTTTTTGCGTGAAAGAGTAACAAACATCTTACTAACTGCATAGTACTGTGTTAATATAATCTATATTAAAACAGTACTATACAGTTAGTAAGAAATAAGTAGATCTGTTCATTATGGATAATAAAAAAGTAGGTGTCCTGTAGTTTATTCGACGTTTCATAAATCTTATCTGGTATTAAGTACCTTAGATTAGTGTCAGTTTCTGCGTATAACTCATTAGCTGTAAATCTGCTACTGTTCATGCTGATATTGTGAAATGTGAACGTGGGAGTGTTTATAGTTACCACCTAACGCCTTACCGACTAAATCAGACTTATTACATGATTTATTATATGGCCTCAGTGGTCTAGCGGTTCAGCACAGTATGCTTTAATTCAGGTTGTTGCTGGTTCGATTCTTATCATTGTACAACTTTTGTATTCATGAGTGTGATTGATTATATACTAATAAAATCACTCTGTTATAGTACTTATAGTAGTCTCCTTGTTTTCTAAGTATAATATAACTCCAAGAATATAGTAAATAGCAGTATTCGTGAAATATTTAATAATACATTACTTTGAAGATGGTGTTCTCGTACCTCATGCCTCTTGCAAAGACAAAAATTCTCGTACCTACACGAAAATTCTCGTATACGATAGACGTCCCGGTCTCAAATGCACATTTCTACTCTAAACTGGTTTCCGTATAAGCGTTATTAAAATATCTTTACATAGATGCATAAAAATCGATATAAACTTTTATAACTTCAAAATCATTAACATTATCAATTTTTTTATGAATCAATATATATATAGATTAGTTTTTAACCGCGCCTCAGTCAATTGACTGAGAAGCGGTTAAAATTTCTAGTAATAGTAATAGTCATTTCTAGTAATCCCAAAAAAAATTTTTTGGGATTCATATCCATCCTCGTAATATTATACATATTATGTATTCTTTAAATTTCATTCAGATACTTTTTTATTTATAATAACAAAAATTTCACGAACTCCATAGAGTTGAAAATATTGAAAAGAAAACAAATTATTCAAGCACGGTAAAGACGGTAGTTTTATCCCCTGTCAAGTAGATTTCCATATTCTCAGAGACGCGAGCATTTCAAATAATGCGATCATCCAAAAGTCAACAAACCATGTGACTACTTGATCTCGAATCACAGGTGCTGTTATTTTTTTACTACGTTTCCAAGGTAAAACCACAGGATATTTTTTTATCACAGATAACAGCAGTACAATTCAAACAATTCTATGTATTTTGTATTTTAACACCTAATAGCGTTGTGGTGTTTTTGATTAGATTATAATAATATATTGTATGTAACCAGATATATTACAGTAGATCTGACCTGAAAAGCTCGGGCGTACGTGTCAGTTATTGTTCAGTTTATTATAATGGTTAATAAATAATAATTTAAAATGTGGATATTTCGAAGAGCGCATACTTTATCCAGTATTCCATTAAAAACAACAAAATTTAATGAGGTCAGTCTAAATTTATTTATTTGTTAGTAAATGGCCATTGATTATTTTCAAAATAATCTTTATAATGTGAGTGTGATTGAAGGAATATATGTACCAGATTAAAAATTATGCTTTAAAACTAAATAAAACTAATAATCTGAAACTAAATTAAAACATAAGTTTTAGGTTTCTAAAACTTGTTTTAATCGCTTATAATGTATCTTTCTATATAATTCATCAAAGCATTGATAGTTAATATTGAAATAGAAGTATTTTTCAGTTTATCCATTACAAATCCTACATAAGTTTGGAGTATGTATGGATGGTTGGATGGGTGGACGTTTGTTACTTTTTCGCGAAAAACCTAGTGACCGGATTTTCATGAAACTTTACTGTAATATAGTTTATATACCAGAATAACATATAGGCTAATTGTTAAATGTTATGATATGTTAATATGTTATTAAAAATATATTGTGTAAAATGGGCGAAATATGATGATAAATGTTAAGTAACAGAGATGCAGATGAAGTTGTGCAGGTCGGCT